TGTACCTAACTAACTACCTCTTCAGTTTCGCAATATTGAGGACGAACAATAAGTAATGGCCGGACAATGGTAGGCTGATAGCGATGAGTCAGGGCTTAAATGTAAGGCCGGCCGGCCAACGAATAAGAATGTCGACAGACGACAATGGCCGGCAATACCAAGATTAAGGTGGTGATAAAGATAAGCAGGGCATGCAAGAAGAGAAGAAGGTGTCAGCCCGCGCAATCCAAATTAAATGTGATTTGGCAGATTCAAACGTGTCACAGGTCGATGTAATCAACAAGTACATCAAGAGAATTGTTGTAAAAAAAGTGTTTGAAATGCTCGAAAGAGACGTTGATAAAATTTTGGAATAAATGTTTCCAGGCTGAAGCTTCAGCTTATAAAAGCTTGTCTCTTAATGCTAAATTAAGGCCAAATATGTATTAACATAGATCTGTAGAAACCCAATATCATAATATAATATAATAGTGGTAGGATGCGTGTAAATTTTTTGTTCCAAAAAAATATCTAAATAGGTGTCATCTTGTTTAATACAAAAGATACAATTTTCTCAAAGCATCATTTTTTAAAATTCGATTTAAAACGAATGAGATCGTATGTTAAAGATTTGTAGAAGATTAGGGGAAAAAAAGTTTAACTACTGCCTATATTTTTTGCATCAGCATCCAAAAAACGCTTCGATTATCCTACAAAATCATTGATTTTTCTTCGTACCCTCTGCTAAAGTAAACCATCAATATTAATGCAATGTGAAGTTCTTCACTACCTTAAATTTTGCATAGCAATTAACAATCCAGTGAAAAGAAAATGAACTCCTTTGGGAAGATGAGATACCAACAACTAGGGGTGGGCATTGGGTGGGTCGGGTGGATTTTGACCATAAAATGCACCCACCCGCGCTTAAACGGATTGATAATTTTTAACCCACCACCCACCCACATTTAGTCTCGGGTTGGGTCGGGCGGATGGTGGATGATTTGGGTGGGTTTGTGGGTTCACCCACATCACAATGTATATAATATAAAGGAGTCAACTTGACATGATAATAGGCGAAGAGAGTTATCTGGGGAAACAAGAAGATGAAATAGGGCGAAAAATGTCGAATTAGTTCTTAAAATGGATAGAAATTCTATTATGAAAGAGTTTTCTACAGATTGAGATGATTATCAGGTGCAAGGAACTAAGAAAAATAATTCCACAAAGGAAAGAGCAGTGATCTAGGCACAAGAATTAGAGGAAAAAATAAAGGGAAGAAGAGGGGATCGCTATTTGGAAGGTTGGCTTTGAGGTTTAAACTCCAGGAGCAGTCCTAATTTATGTCTAACGTCTCCACTCTCCCCTCTCTAGCGCCAGCGACTTTGATCTTTTTGCTGTTGGGTTGAGCGGGTCACCCGCGCACCCACCCACAACCCACCCACCATCCGGCGGATGGCTCCCAACGCAACCCGTCACCCACCCATAGACCCACCCACTTAACGAAATTCGGGTCAAATGCGGGTGGGTCGGCCCAAACCCGCGGATGATCCGCCCGCATGCCCAGCCCTACCAACAACCCAAATTATACCAATTGGTGGTATGCGGAATAATTCGATTCGCCGGCTTTCCTCACTCTATAAAAAAATAAAAAAAACACAAAATTGGGGATTGCACCAAGTGTATGTATCCCGTACGAAAGCCCCAGTAATTAAATATATAATCCCCACTAACCATATGACCTAGGTGGAAAATAAACTAAAAAAATCTTGAAAGATAAACAAATAGCCGTGATTAGGATCATGATTAAGACGTCAAAGTGGCTGTTAGGTTGTGAGTCTAATGCTATTTATTTTGTGGGTCAATAATAAACTCGCTCGCCCATTCATGCCGGGCGGGCCAGCCTGTCATGTCATCTCCCCGCCAAAAGACCCAATTCTTCGCCCGCCAACACTGAAAAACAGCAACCTTCCCCGGGGTAAATTACGTCCATGGTCACTTAACTCTTTCATAGTTATTATTTTGGTCACTAAAGCTTACCTTAGTCCCCAACATTCCTTACATGTTATTATAACTATAATGATATCTCCTAGGATGAGGAATTTTACTATGCTATATGGCATTGATGCGATAGGTTTTTGCCTTTATGATATAAGTTGAAGTTATATCTTTAACGTTATGGTACAACTTTAGATTGTACATATACTCTTTTGTACAAATTCTTTCATGGTACAACTTGAACTTGTACATTTATGTGATGGTACCATAACATAAGGGTACAAATTCTTTTATAGTACCATCTAAACTTATACATTTAATTTAATTATGGTACAACTTTAAGTTGTACATTAAAGCACCCATACTTTGGGAGCATAGTAGAAGTGCTCCTCCTAGGATGGCAAAAAATACTCAATATCTTGGGTATTGTCAGAACAAATCTTAGTATGGGGTAAAATTAGGTTTGGGTATTTTGACTATTGGGACAGACTCATACCCAACTTTTCAGTTTGGATTTAAATTGGACTCGTAGCATTAGGTACATAAAACAAAATGGATACCTGATTCTAATGCAAATTTTATCTTATTAGTTTTGTAATGAAACAAATAGAAAGGTGAAAACACCAACATTAAATGTGTAACGGGGTTGAAGGCGGTCAATGAGATGACCGATATGATTATATTTTTGTGTGTACATTCATCTGAACCCAAATGAGCTAACCCAAATTGAATCCATTTTATACCCAATCCACAAATCCAAAACCATTAACAATGCATATGAATCCATTTGGGCCTGACCCAGTACTCATATGGGTCAATGATATTTTGTTCAAATTATCCAACAAGTCAACTCATTACCATTATGAATACCTCCTTATGTACTCATTGTTTGCGTTAAGTATAAACGAATATAAATAGGCAAGTAGCCATCATACTCGAGTGATAAAATTCCAAACAAAAGTGATAGTGCCAGGTTTAAGAGTGTGCAATGGTCCATCCCGGACTCCCCCAAACTCATACGATCCCATAATGAAAGTCATTTAGGACCGAGGACTGGACCATCATTGCATAGGATTTGATTTGGTCTGATTTGATCTGATCCAAATACCAATTTGGACATTTTTCTTTAATACTTATAAAATTTATAGCATCAAAGACCAAAAGACATTATATACAGTTCGATATATTCCGGTTTAATGTCTCGTTAAGATCCAAGACAGACCAAATTGCTGCTAGGGCTGTCATTTCGGTTGCCGGTTAGCGGCTAACCGGCCGTCGAACCGTTAATCGCCGTTTAGCGGCTAATCGGAAACCGAAAAAAACTGGGCACGGTTTGTTGTCGGAGGCGTTTCGTGGTTAGGCGGTTAGCCGAAAAACCAACGCCGGTTAAACCGGCGCTTACCGGCAAGCCTAAACGACGCCGTTTTTGGCCTAAATAAAACACCCCATCCCCCAAATCCCCAACCCTAGCAGCCCTTCGTCCCATCTCCCAAATCCCCAGCCGTCTCCCTCCAATCCTCCTGCTCCCTCCCTTGAGATCGTCTCCCCGCAACTCCGCCTCGCTGCCCGCCTCCAATCGCCGTCGCCGCCTCCCTCCAATCGCGCTACCCCTCCACACCGAGCGACAACAGTTTTCTCCCACTTCGAATTCAATTTACCCTCCTCCCACCATCTTCTCCGCACTTTCCCATCTTCCTTCCTCTCTCTCTCTCTCTCTCTCTCGCTCGCTAGCAAGCAAGCAACCCATTCCTCTGAAACAATGGCAGCTAGCAGAACCCGTACCCTATTTCTCCTCCTCCTCTTGCTCGCCGGATCTTTCAATTTGATCGCATCGGCGGCGGGCAGCGAGGGACTGATGACCGCTGTTGCTTCCGAGGAATGGCTCATCACGATGTCCATCTACGGCGGCTGAGAGGCGGAGCCGGATGGCGATGTGGATTTGGAGGACGGAGTTTCGGTCAATTGGGACGGAGAAGAAGGAGAAGGTGTGAGCGGTAGCAACCGGCGGTCGCTGCTCTGGAAAGGAAGAAGAAGAATCGAGAAGTGAGAGGGCGGTCGGTGCTCTGGAAAGGAAGAAGAAGAATCGAGAAGTGAGAGGGGTTAGAGTGAGTGGTGCAGATTTTTTGTTTATTTAATTTTTTTTTGTTGTTGTAGAAAAAGTAGTTTTCCGGTTGGCCGACTAACCGAGCCTAAAACCGAAATCGACCGATTGGTTGACCGGCTAACCGTGACCAATCTCACGGTCGGTGGTCGGCAGCTATATGGGGTGGCTCGATTTAACCGATAATCGAATTTTCGATTATTGATTAAACCAACCGACTGCCACCCCTAAATTCGCTGCACCAAAACTGAAAATTAGTAACTCAATAAAATAAACCGTAAAAGTGGTTTAGAGGACCAGACTAGAACTTATGAAACAACCTAGTGACTTTCACGTGTATTTGCTTCACAGTCAAACTAACACACCCGAACCGAGGAAATGAGGGGGGCACATTTTTTTGTACACATTTCTCAATTTCTAGAGGAGAAAGAAAGACAAACAACCTTGAATAATCAAACCCCCCACAATTGGGAATTAAACAAAAACATAAAATGGGGAAAGAAGAAGCATACGAAACGAAAGGGGGATGGGGAGGAAGAATGGACAAAATTCAGCATAAAGTCTGCTCTTCAGCACTCCCTTGGAATTGAATCTTCTCTCTGTATATATATATTCTTTTCTCCAACAGATCAGAGTCCCAAATCTTTACACCATCCCCCATCTCTCTCCAGCTTCTCCCATTTCACACTCCACCACCGCCATGGAGACACTAGTCCGCAGCACCACCACCACCTTCGCCCGCCGGCGATCGAATGGGTACGAGCAGCTTGACCCTTACTACGAACCCACCACCGCCCCTCAACACCACCACCATGACAACGACGACGACGTTTCATCCTTCCCCTGCACCCCCAAGAAGCGCACCCCATCCAGGCGCCGGGTCGCCGCCACGGCTTTGGACCAGAGAACGCCGGCGCGGGCGACTATGGCGGTGGCTTGGTCGCCTGGGTACAGAATCACGAGGGCGAGGCAGAGGCAGATATTCCTGAGGTCGTACCAGCTGGCTTCGGGGAGCAAACTTCAGAGGCGGCTGTCGAGAACAGGGAGGCTGAAGAAAGTGGCGGTGAAGGTGAAGATGGTGGTGGCTTCGCTGGTGGTTTCTTTCATGAAAGTCGGCGGCGGGTTGAGATCGTCTTGTAGCTCTAAGGTGGCCACTTGCGTCGCCTCCCCCGTTAAAATTAGCAGGTTTTGCTGATCCCCTGTTTTCCCCTGTTTCCTAATTGGCTGTCCTCTGCCTCTGCCTCTGCCTCTGCTCCGCGGGTAATAAGATTATTAAGAGCTACTGATCGGATTGGGGTTCGATTGGAACGGATTGATGTTCATCCCAGGCGGGAAATTTCCTACTCCGATCAGGAATTATTTGGGTTTGTTCATAGTGTATGATTCTGGTGGTGTTGTTGAATTTATCAGAGGTATAATGCTTGTTCAGCCGCGGCGGCTTCCTTTACTCTGTTTTCCTTCTTTTTGCAATCCTTTTTATTCATTGGGCAAACGAAAAGAGAGGTTATTTGCGTAATCCCCATCAACCATATGACCATGGGAAATAAACTTAATTTTTTCTTTTTTGAAAGATACACAAAGAGTTGTGATTAGGATTTAGGATGATTATTAAGACGTCAAAGTGCCGGTTAGATGTGAATCTATTGTTATTTTTGTGGGTCAATGAAGCCGAGCTCAAATGTTTGAATATGTTATTCTTCAGGAAGCGTCATTTTATTCTTAGTAGATAGTCTTATATCTTCGCATTGATCGGACTAGTCAGTTATATGCAAAATATTCTCTTAAGGTACACTATTTTCATTTGTAATTAGTGGACGAAAATATTACAAAATCCATAAGGTCAGACGGAAACTTTTAGCAAGACCACCCCTTTTTTGGCGTCGATTGCGACGCTAGATATATAGCATCATCGCTATTCATTTTGTGTCGTATGTCATTAATTTTGACGTCTGGTTATCGATTGACTAGTCGAATTGCAATGGTCGACTGATCTTTTTTTTTAAGGCGATGTCGCTAGTTTTCAGGCACAAATTGACATGCAATCTTTTGATTCTCTCAACCATAACCGACCCTCCCTCCCTTTCCCCATTCTCTATTTTCGGAGACCTAACTTCGTTTCCTCCTCTGAATCGAAACCAGAAGCACAATCCATCCCCAAACCTCAACTTTCTATCACAATCATTGTGACACACAGGAATAGAAGTCTCCTCCCCTCTTCACGCTTACTTCTCTATGTGTGAGGCTGAAATTGACGATGCGTGGATTGGCTCGTCTTCATATCACCGCCGTTAGTCTTCTCACAAACTACAATGTCTCATTATTAAGGTGAGGACAACAAGCTATTCCTACGCCTTAGATATTATTGACTGAATTAAAGAGATATTTGTAGCGAACTGAGAGCGAAGAGGAGAGTCATAGACTTTTGCCCTGTTCCTAACATGACTACTTCGAGGGTGGATGTGCTTTTAGGATGTGAATGGAATTATCTTCTAATGACATGTTCCTTCAGCGTGTTGGATGCTTCAACCCTCGAGTTAAAAGAAATATCATGATAGAAATTTCTCATTTCATTCTAATTATACCTTTTTGGTATTTCTGAATAATGATTTCGTCCACCACTTAGAAATCGAATTAATTTATTTTAAGCATTTATTTTGAAAATTTGTCTTATTTAGAATGAAGGTCTTTTTTCTGGTAGAATCATCAACCACCAAATAGATTTGTAGAATAAGGAATATTAGAAGAAATTTGTGACAATTAGGCTATCAAAATCACAATCTAAATTCAAGATAGGGTGCATAACCCTTGTAGAAGGTGTGTCATGTAACTCGTCTATAGTGGCGGATCCAGTGCTGGGCCAACCCAGGCCCCGACCCAGCCCTCCTCCGGATCCAGAGTTAGTTTAGTGCTTATAAAATTTTTCGATTTAGGTATTTGACCCAGTGCTATTTAAAATTCTGTCTAGTTTTATTTAATAATAGGATTTTGTGTAACTAGGAAAATGGTTCAGATGAACATATCCAAACCATTACTCTAAATTTATACTAAATTTTCTATAGCCCCAATGATTTTTTTTAGGAATGACATGAAAACCTAAAAGTGTAAAGTTTCATTAAAGTAAAATAAAAAACTATAAACTAAAGCATACCCTTCCTTGCAAAATTCAAAAAATTTCCCAATCCCCCCAAAACAAAACAAGAACGAGGAGACGAGCAGACCCAAAATGGATTTCTCTGCCAGCCCGTCGAGCTGGTTTTCTTTCCATTCTTTTGATTAAGAAAATATTTACAAACTTGCTGAGTCATCATTTAGATTGCCTCAATTAAGTGGGGCATCTGGTGTTTTGATGAAGAAAATATTTACAAACTTGCTCAAGAGTTTAGCATCGTGACTTTGAAGGCTATGAGATGCATTCTTTGGAGAATGCACTACTCATGTGAGGAAGATGAAGTTTCTTCTCTTGCAAAATTATTAGAGAAGCTGGAGGAAATAGGGATGGACACATAATACAAATTGATTTGTCGGTTGATTTGTCTAATGTCGACCTAGCCGTTTCAACAACTACCATGAAGAGAATATTTTCAGCAATGAAACATGAACATTGATTTGTGCAACAAAATGTGCGATGAATTTTTCGTTGATTACTTAGCTATTTTCTTTGAAAAAGAGTATATTATCAGTATGGATGGAGATTATATTATTGATGAATTTGCTAAATTAAAAGACCTTCTTGTACTATTGGCGTTGTAATGAAAACTATATTATTATATATTTTTGTTTATGGCTGTATCCGCCGCTGCTCGTCTAAATATCTTGTCTCTGCCTATATCATCCAATACAATTTCACAAACCATACTTATAATCCTAGCATTTTTTGAAAGAGATATTTTCTCATATTAGCTCTTATTTTTTATTGAATGCAGGCGTAACACTAAAGAACAAAGATAAAAGGATGTTCTGGGTGGACCCTCACCGACAAATGTGGTGTCCAACCTAATTGTGTTAAAGAAACCATGATTGAAGGAAAAGCTAGCAGAACAATTCATACCGGAAGCATCAGGCTTCCTAGTTGAAAACCAGTTAGCATTCACCAAGCCCCTTACAGAGAAGCTAACTTCGATTAGGTCTTCTGAAAGTATTTTTCAAAATCAGTTGATAGTTCGGTAAGTTTATACATATAACATACTATAATAGTCATTTGTATGTGTTACACCCACTTACTATTAAAGTATCATTCAAATATGTGAAGAAATAAAATAATAAAAAAACATAAAACCATCATCAAACGCTACTCGTTACCCTCCAAATTCCAAAAGGAATTTTGCTTTTGTTTAAAGTCGCCTAACTGGCTTTGGTTTCTTTAAAATGGGGGAAAACAACAGTAGCCCATTTAATATTTCGGAACTTATTCTTTTTAATTTTTATAAGAAGCGAAAGTGTCAAAGGAAGATAAGGGGAATTAAGAACTTGCCCTAAAGGAGTTGCTTAACAGTAGATTGCGATTTCGGTTTCTTTAAAAAAAAAAGTCAGGCCTAGTATATATGAGAAGATTGGGGATCAAGGGTTGTTAAAAATGTGTCAAATGAGATTTTCTTGACATTTTTTAAAATTTTCGTGATTTATAAACTTATAAACACTGGTCTCGCCCTTTCTTTTCCACCTTAATATTGAAATAATATGCTCACAAACCATAATTTTACTTTTTACAACATTTTAAAACAAGACTTGTTTATTCATTTGATGTAGAAAATATTTCAAGTCTGTTATTTATTTATATATAATAACTAAAAATCCAATTTTTTTTTATCTAGACCGGTTTCTATCGATTTTTATGGGTAACTGATAATCTCAACCCATTAAGATTAGATCCAACCCTACATTTTTTCCTAATTTTTTTCCAGAGAAATATATGTGTGTAAAACTGGATCATAATGAATATGATTTTATTCATCATCCATTTAGAGTTACACTGATGTAATTTGAACGGGAGGTAGAACAACTTGGAATGCTAGTTAGTATTATTATTATATATAAAACTGAAGCTTAGTTACTGTTGCCTAAAAAAAATATTATTTTGATACTCCAAATTTAATTAAATCACAACTTAGTCATAAGAATATAGATTTTACATTTTAATACCCCAAATTTAATTTTAGTGTAAAATTATTGAACAATTATGTTTTGGTATTTAAATTTTATGAGATTTTCGTATCTACAATTTTTTAAATTTACATATTGGTCCAATGTTTATATTTCACTTGAATCCATGAATCTGAATCCACCAATCCTATTGAACCAATCTAGAGAATTAATAATTGAACCTTGAACCATGAACCACTAACTTTTTAGATCAATGTCGAGTCCAATTAAAAATAAATATACATGGTTACTATTTATAAGAAAGTCATCATTTTCCACTATGGGATTTAAAGGCTTGAAATTTTAAGCGAGTTTCAGTTTGTATTCCTTTCTTCTCTCTAGAGTTTTCTTTTTCATCCGAGCTAGAATTTTTAACAATTATACATGGAATTTTCAACAATTATACATATCAAATAAATATTTTCCTATTTTCTATAGAAAAAGTAAATAATTATCATCTTAATTACATCACCATAAAAGGAATTAAGCCTCAACTAGGCAAATTACAGTAAGGTACCTAAACTTAATAGATCTTTAAATTTATAACCTAAATTTATTTTTTTGGCATATAAGTCCTCAAAATATTGATGGAACATTACATTTTAGTATCTAAAACTTTTGTGTATTACATTTTGGTACATAAACTTTTGAAGTACACACCCACGAATAAATAGGTATCCATACCCAACTCATACACATTTAGATTATGAAAGTAAATATCCATACCCTATCCAAACCCATTTACATACTTTCAAACCCATATATACGTCATACATTCCCTAACCATAATCAATGGGTCGACTTGGTTTTAGGTAAAAATCATTTATTAGCCAAAATTTTCAAAAAAATTTAAATTAGATGTTGACCGCCATATATATTTTTTTCAGTCAATATCATATTATCAAGTCAATATTACTAACAAAACTGCTAAAAAAATTAATTTAGGCTAATAATACTAACAAAACATCATAACGGGCCACATAATACATGCACATAGGCCATATCTGGTCGCGACAAGGCGCGACATCGCCACCTAGTATAATTAAAAGCACAAGC